ATCACTTTTTCTTGAGTGAAATGCAATTCACAATCCACCAGCTGAGAGAATCTGATGGGCTCTCAGGCAAAGGTGTCCCAGTTTCTATAACCTTCCAGGACCAAAGGTCACCATTCCTTTTCTAATACTCATTACAAAAATATGGATCTTTGAGGAGAAAAGCCAGCCACCTCCCCAACAATACCTGAAACTATTCCTCTACTAGTCAGACCCAGCATGCAACTGTAGTAAAGATCTTCATGCAACTTTCTTACATCCTATCTTCACTATACCAGGGAAAAGATATGTCTCTCTTGCTGTCAAATGAGTCAGAAAACCCACAAATGTTGCTCTAATGCCCATATCCTTCTGCTGTAAAAGTGCTAAAAGTCTGATCCTAACCATGAACCAATTACTGCTAATGATTCATTAAAGGGACAGGCCTGATGTCAGAGGCCATAAGACCAAGAAGTACAAAACTACAAGGTGTAAGATTGATCCATCATATGACAGCTCAACTCTGTTTTATTCTGCCACCATTTTTTTCAACTATGTCTAGGCAAAGCTTGTGCTATCTATCCATAAGATTGGAGGTCTCCAGTCATACTTAGTTTTTCAGTTACAACCTGCTATCCCTCTACTCTGACATGATCTCAGGGGCCCAGAACTGTGCTAAAATCACCACTCAGCATGAAGTGTGCTTAGGAGTATCTATAATGACAAGGGAAGGAAGATGACTACTGACAAACACTTTTTGGTGGCGTGGCCTTTGGGCATAGATGTTAAGAACTAGACACTTTCCACAATCTGTGAGCAAGTATGATCTTGGCAACCTTCACTGCCATGGGGAGTAAGTCCAGGAAAAACAGGCTTACCATCCCATCAGCTTCTGGGCTCAGCTAAGATCACTGGCTAAGTAAGAGTGAACCTGATGCAGACACATAATGGGGTGATCCCCTTTTCCCCCCCCCAAGGCAGACTGGATGCTGCAGAGCGTCAGCTGTAGTCCTGAGTGTTAGCAATGTTATTTTCATGTGTCAAGGAGGATTATGACCTTCCAAGTCTGAGCTGGTAGGCAAAAATACAGTAGTGTGATTACTTAATTGAGGCAAATGAGAGTGAATCATTGTGGCTAACAAGTGCAAAAAAGAAAAAAACATTCACATAGTGGCAAGAGTGTGAGTAGGAGAATTGCAAAACTAGGAGACACAGAGGAGAGAATTCACAGAAAGACAGAAAAAGCCTTGAGTCAGGCTAGGAGGTGGATGGAAAGAGAAATATGGTTCTGCATTGGTGGAACAGGACTGGGGTTTTTTGTTTCATTGTTTTTTTGGGGTGGTTGTTTATGCTTTTTTTTTAAACAACAATACAAAGAAGGAAGGATACGGGAGGGGGAAGTCATAGGGTCATTGAGATGAAGTATCTGCATTACCTTCTACCCCTAAAACTTTCTTCCTGTGACAGTGATAAAACAAGTCTGAAGATAGCAGCTGCAGTTGCTTTTTCCTTCATGCAACAGTTAAGGTGTGCTGCACAATGGTTGTGAGGGCTATAGGTGTCTTTCACCCCTCTCCCTTTCCCATCCTTCACACTAGCATATCTGCTTAGATGGACAATCCCAGATGCGGATGGTGGCAGAGCTGAAGAAAAAAATTGCAAACTTCAGGACATGCACCATTCAGAGCAAGGAGGACAGCAGCAGTAGCCAGACCCCTGTTGTCAGTGCCCATTAACAAAGGAGCAAGAAAGGAGGGGCTGACCCAGTATGGCTCTTCTTACATTCATGTTTGTCCTCTTTCTAAAGCCAAAAGCATCCTATGATATCCAGCATCCTGCAAAGCCAGAAGACATACATCAGGAGAAGTTAGAGAGATAATACATCAGAATTCAGACAGTGAGGGAGGAGAGAGCAGTCAGAATGATCTTGTTATTGAATGCTCACATGTGGACTTTATGCATCATTCCCCACTTCAAAATGGAGGTGGGAGAAGTAGGATTTTACCAAAACTTCATGCTACTGCAAAAGAAGCCAAAGCTTTACTTGGTATACAGACATGGGAGCAATCAAAAATGCATTGCCACTGGATGAAACAGATAGACTATTAGAAAGTCTTAGGAATGGAATAGAACATCATAACTGCGGTTTATCACTCCATGGGCTATATACATCTTGAACATGCAATGCTGGCAAATCTGCACCTCACAAAGGTACAATTAGACAAGGTTCAGAGGAGGACACAAACCAAAGGTGTGGAAAAAGCAAGTAAGTAGACCAGGATCCTTCAGTCTGGGCAAAAGAATAACTGAAGAGCAATACCATGGAGACCTGTAAAATTCTGTGTGGCTGGGAAGTGGGAGAGGGGGATAGGGATCAGTGCTCATAGTTATCTCCGAGATGTAGGGGGCGTTAAATAAGGCTGTCAGGTGCCAAGTTTAGAACAAACAGAAGAAAGCAGTTCTTCTCACAGCAAGCAATTAAGCCTGGTGGATGCTAATGGTTTACACAAATTCAGGAGGAGACTGGACAAGTTCATGGAAGACAGATTCATTGAGGCTATAAAATACAGAGATATTTTTGGTTTAGGAGATTCTTGAGCTTTGAGGATGCTTGATCCTTGAGCTTTGAGAGTGTTCTGGGGAAATGTGACTGAATGCTCATTCTTTTATAATCTTCCCACAGCCAACACTGTTGGAAACATGCTACGAGGCCATACAAACCTTTTCTCAAGCCCAGTGAAGCTGCCCTTTCATCATAAAGAGGAGAAATTGGAGATCGACTAGAGCTGTGTAGCTACATGAAACACTGTGGTGGTTTAGGCCCTGCCGGGACTGAGACCACGTTGCCATTGTCCCTCCCCTACCCTCGGACCGGACAGGGCTGGAAGTGAGGCACAAACCCCGAGGTTGAAATAAGGAAAAATTTAATACAACAGTGTAACAAATAATAAACTGAATAACAACAATAGCAATAACAACAACAGTAAACAGTAATAACAGTAGACAAGACAGAAGACATACAGAGATATACCGCAAGGGACACAGCCAGCCCGCCGCGCGTGCTCTCAGGGACAAAAGCCCACGGGAAACTGTTCTTGCGCTTGGCGCATGGATCGGACGTCAGCATGGTATCCAATAACCCAGCTAGAGCCCCCTCCCCACTGCTGGGGAAACTTAACCCTGTCCCAGTTGAACCAGGACAAACCTGCTCAGCTAAAGGACAGCATTCAGAGTTATAATCCTCACCTGGTGATTAGCATACATCTTAAACTGAAATATACTGAAGAACTAAGAGGGAAATGGTGAACTATTACTTCAAATTATATTCATATATGTTCTATTCTTTTTCCTCATTTCTAATCTTGTCATTCCAATTTTTAAATAAACCATGACTTTATATATTAGTAGACATACTTCCCCAATTTCTTTAATTTCCCTGAGGGTCTAGTACTGGTGACAAATTACAGTGCCACCTGATATACTTTTTAATCTTTCACAGTAATAAATCTAGATAAATCAGTATAAAGACATCTCAGGGGCTGAGATGTTTAGAGAATTTGCTCTCTAGAATAGGCCTCCAAATCAAGCTAGAAGAATCAGTGTGTGGTGGCAAGCTGGAAGTGCCAGACTTTTGTGGGGAGTTCCCTTTTGGAGGTTTCTTCCCAGAGCTGCACCTGCAAGAAACTGAAGGCAAAGAGGCAATTTACAGCTTCAGACAAATCCCCTACTGTGAAAGAGCTGTTTGTGATTTTAACTGCACTAAAATTGTCTGGAAACATCTCCTTCCATTTCTATCTCAAGGATGGCTTTTCAGTACCACTAGGACACAATTATTTTAAACTGGAATAGAATATAGGAAGATGTAGGTTCAAAAGAAGCTTTGGAAATTTCTCATCCAGCCATCTGCTCAAACTAATTACAAAGTCAGATCAGGTTAGTCATCCACTTGACTTTTGCAAATTCCTCAGTTTCTCTGGTTACCTGTTCCGTACTTAATAACCCTCATTCTGATTTCCCCCCCCTAGATTTAGTCACAATTTTTCATGCTGCCTGAGAAAAGTCTGCCTCGATTCTCCCCACAATCATCCTTGAAGCAGCAGAAGACAGCAATCAGATCCTCTCTTTGACTTTTCTTTTCCAGGCTAAACAAATCCAGCTCCCCCAGCATCTCCTCAGTCTACCTCCATCTCTCTATAGCCCTCTATCTTAGTGGCAAATATTATTTTTCCACTGTACTATCCAGAAAGAATTTGGCTTTTTTTTTTCTTTTTAAAAAAGTTGTGGTTGCAATGCTGCAACATGTATGTGGCTAAAATACAAAAGTACTGTTGGAGAGTTTGCTGGAATACCCTTCTACCATTTTCCCACCCATCTGATGTACTATCAACAGGAGCAGGCACTCATATAAGACTGTAAAAATCTGCTCATAAAATGTTGTTTTCATCACTCTGGCTTTAATGTATGGAGAAAACTACTGTGATAAAAAAGGGACACAGAATCAAGTTGCCTTAGTTATATTGTGTTAGCTGAGCTACTGTAACAGATCACATATATGCTGGTAGTAAGCAATGAATGGGAGAAAAAAATGTTACGATGAGTATTAAAGAGATTATTATTATTATTATTATCACTATTGCTAAGGCCCATGTGAGTCTGCAAGAAAACAAAGGGGTTGGTGTGCACTGTTGAGCTGCTGGCATAGACTCTGTACTTTTGGAAGCTGTGCTAAAATTCTGTCACATTTGTCACATCTCAAAACTTTTGTGTTTTACTGAAAGCCAGAAGTACTCTCTTGCTCGTGAAGGGCATTCTGGTCTGGAATACAAGATTATTTTGGACAGGGTGGTGGAAAGAGAAGAAAACCCTTTAGCGATGTTGAAAAACCGTATAGTACAACCTTTTTCTCCTGATCCTAGGACAGGTATTCCTCAGGCAGATATGAACACATGCATGGAAGTGTTAGAAAACCCAAATGGCTATCCAGAGTGCCATGCATCAGACTGGTAACAAAGAAAGGCTTTTACCTGATAGTCAGGCTTGGTGAAGTAGTCTAGGCTTGCAATATGATCCAGAAAAAGGTGGAACTCTGAAGGCATGTGCTTTAGTAGCATTCGGTGTTCATACTTTTCTTTTATCATGCCAACCTGCTCCTGTAAAAAAGAAAATGTCTCAGATTCAAGAATCTCTTCTATTGCTTCATATTCATACAGTCTTCTCATTACTGGAACACAGTCTCTTCTTAGACCCAGCACTGTGTCTATACACTTCTTCTGTTTAGTGTCCCTAGCAAAGCAAGGTTGACCACTGTAGGCAAATGACAAAGGGAAATTCTGAGTCAGCTGAAGCTGTCCTTTTAGCAGAGCCTTCTCTACAGGTGGCCTATTTCTTTCCAGGGATTTTACTCTCTAGCACAAATTACTTCCAAGACAACACAAACAGTTACCTTTATTCTGTTTAACTTTCCAGGTGCAATTCCCATTTAGTTTGCTTGGCATCGCAAAGCATTACCCCCTGCCCCACCTTTCTAAAGGCTCTGTTTATTTGTCAAAAGGACAGGTGGGACTTTCCAATTTTGTTGTTTGCTTCGCAAGAAAAAAGTCAAAGTTGATTGATCAACTGTGATTAACAACGTGCATAAGAAAATGTCAAGCTACTCCAAATATGGCAAGCTCCACACTGTGCGTCAGAACACACAAAAGAAGGTTAGCATCTTGCAGCAAGATCTGATGAAAAGTAACCTCTGGCTTTACATCAGCAAAAAGTTGCACTAAGTTGCAGGAGGAATAGTAAGAGTCATAATAATAAAAATGTAGTACTCCATCTTAAGCAGACACTAGGTTTCCTACCTTATCTTTGATTTTTCTCCATGGAAGCTGACCAACCGCAAACTCCACCAACATGTAAAAGAGGGACCAGAGATCATCATGTCTACCCATCTCCTGGAGAAAAGAGAGATGAAGACTGAGGAGCAAAATTCCATGCTGCTCAGTAGTCCAGGTGCGCTCTACAGAGGAGCTACCTCATTTTAAAAAGCAGGAAGAGAAGTCATACTTGCCATTCAATGATTAAAGAAGCCAGATTAGAGACTAAAGATGCAAAACCAAGCATTTATTAAACTTGGCAATGTCAATACAGTCACCTGAATAACCTGATTTGTTTTCATTTTTGTGAATATATTAGGAAAGAGTTTTTTATCTATACAACAAAGCACAAGTTTTCCATAGGATCCTCCCTTACTGAGTATACAGGAGTGGAATAGTTAATAATGGGATGTGGAATAACCTAGATCAAGGAAAAAAACAATCTGTGTGTAGAAAGTATTTTTTATTGTTATTTTTAAGCTAAATGTTTTTCAAACTCTTTTTGCAAGACAGCATTTCCTCAAGGGCTTTTGCAAAACATTCATCATTAAGCACCATGACTTACAGATTTCTAACATTTCCACACACCACTCTCCTCCCGGCCTAGCAAATCAGAAACTGAAACATGAGGATTGAGGCTGAAATTGTCAAAGCACATGAAGTTGTTTTTGCTGCTCAACATCCAATGTCTAGAACATAATTTCTCAGAATAGCATGCATTATACAGCGATTTTTGTGTCTAAATATACCTTCAGCTGATGCCAGCTACAGCTGGCACGCTTCAGCTCTTCCAAAAATTATACCTCAGGTCTCTCAGTGTCTCCCAGGAAATAGAATGAATTCATGATGGCATTCAACCACCCCCACCACATCACACTTTTCGCATTCTGCAGACAATAAGTTACTTTCCTAAAAAAACCTTTGAAACTTCTTCATATGTCACAGGTCATCCCAGAGACTCATCACAAATAAGGCCAGAAACCTGGAGGCTATATAAGAGGGACAATAGCTTCCATCTGGCAAGCACTTAGCAGTAGAACCAGAGGACTTATGGTTTACTGTCTACACAGTAACATTACTGAAATAACAAAATGCGTGTTTTGAGAAGAATGTTGGATGGGACTTCTGGAAGCATTTAGAATGAAACAGGACAGACACTATGTAAATAATATCTCTTTACAGGGAAAAATAAACCTCAGTTTCACTAGGTGGCTCTTCACCTGACGGCATGATACTAATATTAAAAATTCCAAGCAGAGAATATATCTGGGGACCTGGCACTTGGTAATTCACAGCCAAGTTCTGCTCAAAACTAGCAGCAAGCAGTCTGGCACTTAACCTGATTTCCAGTTTAGTGTGGGTTAGTTTTTTTCCCCTTAAAAAGTGCGTGATAATGCAATAATTAGTTATTAAGGCTGCCAACTAGAGAGGATCCAGTAAATGAATCATAATTTTGATTTTACAGTTAACAGTCTTGACCACGTAACAAAATTCATCTGATATACTAACTTCTGTAGGTTACAAAACAGAACTCACACCTTACTCCTCTGCTCCTGAGAACAGGTTTCTAAGGAGAAATAACCTTGCTGTTAACACTTTATAAGCCAAAAATACTCACTCGGTTTTTGTGTGCATTCACTGAAGCATAGCGGACCGTTCCTCGAAAACCAGCAACATTGCGAGGCTGAAGGGAGACAAAAGAAAAATCTCAGAGACAGAGCAGATTACTAAATCCCCTGTGCAGCTAACTCCTGAGAACTTCTCATCTATACTGTTATTCCGTATGTACCCAAGGGACACAAAGTTCTTACTGCCTTCATCTCCTCTAGCAGTTGTGTTCTCCAATTCTGCATTTCTAGAAAGCTTATTTTGCAGAGATGGCAAAGTGGTTACAGTGATAGGTTAGAATAGTAACAGTCTAGTTATAGAGCTGAGAACATTATCCAAGATCATATTTTCCTTTTTAAACTCCAGGTCATGGGAAAAGCTAGTAAAGAAGCACAAGTGCAAAACTGAGTCATGAATCACATGAGCTAAGCAAAGCCTGAGGGCAGTCTGGCCAGGACAAGAACAGGGATCCCCTACTCTGACATAGGGCAGATGACCATACGCGTTTGCTGACACTGCTTGTCAATGTCTTCTGCAAGACATAACCAAACTAAGAACCTCTGTCTTTCAGAGTTCTGTCTTGCTTTTTTTCCAGATTCCTCCCACTATGTCCTAAACCATGCATCTTTATTTTCTATTTCTCTGGTTCTTCACATCCTCAGGAAGTAAAGGCTTGATATTGTGGCCTTGGAAGGAAGGCAGTCCTCCTGTGACTGTTCCTGTGAGCTGGAGGCTTCTTCTGTTCTGGGGAATGAGCAACACTTCCAACTCTTTCCACTGCTTTCTCATTAGACCATTTGAGTTGACTTACTGAGTATGTCATTGTTCTGAAAAAATTTAAATAATTACATCCACCAAATCCTTTCAGTTTAACTAGAAGCACCAGAGTTAACAGCAGTGCTTTCAAAATTAATGTGGCAAAAACAGGTTCAGGACCAGACATCTTCCATCATAAGACTAAGCTGAAGCAAGGAACTAAACACACTCATAATTAAGATTCTACTCTTGCAGAAACTTGATCACATTAAGAACAACTCTAACTGTGTAACCTGTGCCACTCAGGTCAGTTGATTCATGTTTGTTCTTTCAGCTGTGCCTATGCTTTCAGAATTAAGTCCAAAACTCTACTTTCATTCTAGGGCACCCTTCTGTCAGTTTAAATATGTACAGTTCAGTTGCTTCCTTTTGGGTACAGAGACGTTGCTCTGACTCAATACTCTCAGAAAGAATAAAACTTCAAATGTTTTTTAAACAAGTTCACCAACACTGTGCCACTAACACTCCTGAATGATGTATAATGCAGCTCTTAAGTTATAGTGACTCCAAGCAAAAAAAAGCTGCAAGTCTATCTTACGTCTCTTTTATGTTAATCAAATACTTCACAAGGAGGACACATATGCACATTCCATGCACTTAATGAAGCATTTAATCTTGCAGTACACCAGCCTGAGCTATAAGCTACTTATTTAGCAGCAGGTAATAGTCAAGATATTATATTTATGATCATATACCTCATTCCTCCTGGACCATACATTTAGGATTCTCACTGACAAATAACTGCAAAATGTTTTTCAGAATTTCAGTGAATTCACTGATGTGAGTTCCTGAAAAGCAGAATACTGGCCACTGGAATATATCTGGTAGAATCAGCCATCACTGTAAACGTCCTCTGCATATTCAAAAGCAAGAGAACATTCCTCTTTTCCATTGTGTGGAAGCTAGTGTGTTTGGATACTTTTCATGAGCCGTAAAGTAAAAGCTTATTGTGAAAAATTCTAGTGTGTAACCTGTAATGTTTTCAGAATGAATACTGTTCAATGTTTGCAGTCCATGGGAGTTTGCATTTGATGTTCTTTTCCTACTTCAGCGTCTTCAGTTATCAACTGTGTATGTACTAAACCAAGTACCACATGTGCTGGTTTCAGTATGGTTGTCAATGTCTCTGAAAATCTTTTTAGATCAATACTTACTATTTCTGGCAGACAGGCTATCTTTGCAGTCTTTAGTTAGATCTATTTTAAAACCAACACTAGGCAGTTTGCACATGTATTCCCCTCCTCTTTCAGAAGCAAACCAAAACCCCAGCCATCTTTTAACTGTATTTGTCCCACAGCTGACATGAAACAGTTCATCAAGCCAGTCCTGCTCCTGAACCCAAAGGGGTCTCTCTTCAGTCCTCTCTCATGTGATACCTCAGCAAAGCGACAGCACTGCAACTGAACAAAACTTTGCAATTGTTTTGACAGGATGTTTAGACCTTTGAACAAAATTGGCAGATTCTAACTGTGTTAACGGCATCTTTTTCTCATAAAGGTTTCACCTCTTTTAACCATATTTGGCTGCCCTGCCAGTCACAAGGCAATTAGTCATGCCTTTCAACAGTGTCACTAATCACTGCAATCAAATATTTACATGGCTGTAGAAATACCTTGTTTTTCATTCAAACAAACAGCTCCTGCTTGAGCTTTTTTTGTAGCACATGCTGTATACCCAATTGTTGCTGACTTCTGAATTCATCAACGTTAATTTTCCAGATTATTTCTTTACACACTTAATTTCTTCCAGTTAATAAACTTCAACCCACCACTGCATTTCCCAGCAGTGGAAAAGAGCCTGAATAAAGCATCCTTGCTGTCCAGATTGGTCCAGGTTTGACACAGAACTGTAGTTGTAAGAGTTAGGAACTTCAGACTATGGAATCATATATAACTCAACTGATCTGAATCCCCCCAAATGATAAGAAGGTAATAAGCTAGCAAGCTAGAATACAATTTTAAACCATACATGACTTATTTTTTAATTTTTCCACATCATTATTACTATCAAAAATGTTACTCAGGGTAAAGTAGAGTTCTTCCTGCATTCAGACTTGTGTCTAGCACAAAGCTAAAGCAACTTATTACAAACAGCTGTCAGGGAGATGAGAGAGATATGAAGTATATTGCATTGTGTTAGAAGCTTGGTTTAAAATGAGTTTTAGCTGGGGAGAATGTGTTAGATCACTACCACAGAGCAAAAATTATACTCTGTGTTCCTTTCAAGATATTAGCAATGTACACTACCTCATAAAGACAGAATTAGATAACAAAACCCTGCATGAAGTGGACACATTGTTCCAAACTGCGGTCTTTTGCACCCATCGGCTTTTCATCATTCTCCAGTTCCAACACTCATATAATTTGTTCTTTAAGTGTCAACAGTGTCTCCCTTATGATTCACATGAAGTCTGTCTTTCCTGCATATGCTTCCTTTATTTCAGAAGTGCTCATGCTTCCTCATTAATCTGAATCCCTGCTCCTTACACCATGTTCACACATAGAGATTAAAATTTTTCCTCTTGCCTCACTGGTCTCTGGATTGATATTTTGAATGTCTCTGTTTCCATCTTCCTTCCTAAAAACATATTTGGATGCCAGTAGTTTCCTCCTGCCATTTCTTATGCCTGTGATAGTCTCAGGGAACACAACCACTGGTTCCTCCCCAACTTTCTGGAAGCCTGTGCAAACACCTCATGAAATCCACCAGCTTTGCCCCTGGCAGCTCTGCTGTCATCTAAGATCATTAACCGACCTCTCCTGGCAACAGGAAAAGGATTTCCAGCAGTAAGAAAATGAAAAGAAAGCAGAGATTGAAGAGAAGCTGGTAAGGATAGAGAGGAAATGCCACAGATTATGGGAAGCACTTGAAGATATATCTTGGATTGAAATGACTTGTTGGAAAAGTTGTGATAAGAAGGAAAAGTGAAAGGAAGCTTTAACTAAACTAAAAGGAAGTATCTCTGTGACTTTTAGGAATCTCTTGCTTCCATCAGTTAGGCTCATGGGGGACGTGCAGGGATATGCATCCCCACCTCTTCTGCAGAGATGAATTTTGCACCTCTTATATGTGTTTAGACTTGCTAATTTAAACAGCAGCACTTTGTGGAATCATTAATGACAACAGCATGTTTTATCCCAATGGGAGTCAGAAATGAATAGAGGAAGCTGAAGCCAAAAATGTAAGATAACTCCCCTCCCCTTGCCTCTGAAACCATAGAAGTGAAAAGTCTCTGGCACCACCCAAATGTCTGCCAGTCTGTCAGGCAGAATCCCAAGTGTTCTAGGCCTCTGCATCACATTTAGGTAGCTGTCACAATCCTGCTGAAAAAAAAACATATCATGAGGGAAAAAAGAAAACCAGGTGTAATTCGGACTTCTATATATAACAAAAGCACAAAACAAAATGAAAACCCAGAAGCATGGTGATGGCTCACTCACAACTCATAGCAGAGATGGTTACGAGCAGCGGATGGGAAGCCAACGCATCAAACACAGCCTCAAAAGAAGAGCCCAAAAGAACTGTAAAACAGAGAAAAACCCAAAGAAAAACATGATAAAAAACAACAAAATGAGAAAAAAAATTAAACAGAAGTGAATTAAAAAACAATTCAATATTGTATCCCTCTGGAAACCTGGCTCTCTTGTTCAGCTGTTGCCATCTCCCAGAATCCTTCCCAGGGCTGGTGGCTCATGCCATTTATAGTTTCATTTACAGTGTTGAGTGAGCCTGTGTGGTTTGTGAGTGCTCTGTAGAGTGGTGAGAGGGGTCCCTCTAGAGACTAACTTCCCCCTGCTCACGTATCACACCTAATAGTATAAAAAACAAAATTGAGAGCAGAGATGCATACAGCCTAACCACAGGTCAGTTGTAGGGTTCTACCGTGATTTTCTTTCCTAAAATTATCTCTTCCTGCCCCAATCAAATTGATCTAATGACTAGCAAGGGGATTGGCTCTTTCTCATCTCTTCCCCTTTTCACCAAGAGCAATTTCTAACATTAGTGCGTAAGTTTCTGAAAATGAACAGAGATGTTCCCTTCCCCATTTGAATTGTCAAGGGTACCCACCCAAGATATTTTGCTTTTTCTGCAACCACCACCTTGCTTTTTCACCAGCAATCTCCACAGAACCACTGTCTTGCCAGCTTTATGGGCTTCACAGCTGCCAGGTTCAGGCATCTTCCCTGACGATTGCTGCAGTGTTCCACCTATAGATAGGGAGTCCCCACTGTCTGTGGTGGAATGCAGCATGGTCGTTTGAAAGAGAGCAGAATGAAAGTCAGTGCTGCTTTTAGGCCATGTGAGCAGTCACTGTGTCTTAAGATGTGAACTGTACAGTATGGAAACATAAGGGCCATCCTGATCATAGGCAAGACCTAATACAATATATTATATAACCTTAGAACTCAATTCAGTAAACTGAGGAAAGACCTCAGCCAAGAGATATTTATTCCAACAGAAATCAACTAATCAAAAGCAGTCAACCCAACGGAGTTTCTTATTTGAGTCTCAGTATTCCTCTTCCCTAAAAATGTTCCGAGAATTCCATAGATTTTGCATGAAATTTAGTTTTGACAAAGTTACTTAATAGTCTCCTACTATTCTTTCCAAAGCAAAAGACCTGAAGGAGATGAGTTAAAATGTCGTATTTCCTTCTTTACTTTAGGAGAATTCAAAATTTTAAGTGGATTTTAACATCAGAAAAGACCAAGGTCTTTCTGAATAGCATGCACCAACCATCATGTAATTCCTGTGCCAGAATTTGTGCTGGAGATGAGGATGCCTGTCTCACATTAGAAACAAGGCTAAAAATTAGCATTTTTTAATCAAATACATATCCCAGCTATAATCCTGTTATTCAATTATCATTCGATTTTTAACAAGAGAATTTTGGCCTCAGAGCTGCACTTGTTTCTCACATGCATGGTCCTATAGGCGAATAAATAGCACAGAGTATCCCCAAGGAAACCATGGCAATTGCTAAGTAAGAAAGATAAGCTTTTCATGTACTGTAACACAGAGCAGGGAGAACCACTGAAATGGAACTGTTCTAAAGTGCGTTGTAGAGTGTTAGTCACATCTCATTTTTTTTTTTTTTTTTTTTTCCTCTGAAGTCAGATGGAGAAGACGGCCCTTTTCTGCCAAAAGGAAGAAGACAAAAGACAGTCGTGGCAATCACTGAGATGCAGCAGAGCTAAAGTTCAAATGTCTCCATGCCTTGGACAGACATGAAAAAGACACCTCCATCCTTCCAGAGCACACTCTCACCGCTAAACTACAGGGTGCTTTGAGATGCAAGTCTAAGAACATCCATGTTGGAAAGGGTCCCTTTTGAACAGAATAATTGAATATTTATTACCAAGAGAGAAAGTGTATGACAGGCACTCTGTAACCTGGCAGCAAATGCACTTACCTGATAGAGGGGAAACTTGACCTGCAGTCCAACTCTACATTCACTTGCCCATGGAATGAAGCCCCTGTTCCCTTACCACTGGACACAGTAATAGTTTTCTGTTCCACTGTCTGTAGTCCAGTAGGAAGAATAATCAGAGCTTCAAAGTGGAACAGAATCAGCCAGAAGGAATGACACATTCAGATGTACCACATCCCGCCCCGCAGCTTGGCAGTAAAGGCACTTGAAAATGGAAAATGGGATCTCAGTTCCCTGCAGGCATATATGGGATTTGAGCCTGAGCTGTCCTTACTTTTCCCTTACCCTCGTAGCACAAGAACTCTAACCAGAGAGCTGCTACATAAAATAAAAACAACAACCACCTGATATAGATGATGTGAGGTCACCCTCACTGAACCGGGGCTTCCAGGAGGAGAAAGCAGAGAAAAGGCTAGTTATAACAAGAATCAAGAGTCACTGCTTGCTAACAGATTTTCAAATTCATCAGCTGGTCTGCTTTTCATACATTTAATTTCAACTGCACTGGCTTTCTGTAGTCGTAATGTTTTAAAGCAGAACATGAACTCCCTTCTCAAGACCAAATTTGCAACTCCAACAAGGAAAGTAACAACGAGAACCTTTACATAATTTTCACGATGATGTGTTTTATAACTAACCCATTCGCACAGAAATGGCATTTCTGTAATACATGAAATGTGCAATATTTTTAAAGACATAGATCAATTTTTTTTCCCTTTTCTCCATCTCTGTGTGAGCCAATGTGACTATGCCGTGCTTTTTCAGCCTTTTATCCAATTACCTTTTCACAATACTAAGCTCAATTAAAAAATTATATCCCTTCCTAAGCTAATGCAATATTCTGAGTACTACAGTTCCACAAATCTGTTTATTTGACTGCAAAGTACTAATGTCCTATATAAAATTACAGATTTACATATATTTCAAGTACAAGGAAGTATAAAAGCTACTGGGCTTCTATGTTTGGATATTTGGGGTCCTAGAATGTAGGAGTTAATGTCCTTTGTGTCATTTTATAGCTCATTTTCCACTGAGGGGAAAACTACTTACTAGAAAAACATACCATACTCTTCTAATACCTTGTTCACTGCAGCGAAGTTTATTTTTAGCACTAGACATTTAGATATTTGGAAAATAAGTATCTTTTTCCCAATTAGCTGACACATTTTTGCAGCCCTCATCATGCTCGTCTAAACAGGCTATGCAGTGTCCTGCTTACAACATCTTTCTGCCCACTGACTCACAGAGCCACCCTTGCACTTACACGGTATCTTCAGCAAGGCACTGCAAACTGCTGCAGTGCAGTCTGAGCCACGAGGAGATCGAGACGTAATCAATGGGCTGCAGCTGACTAAGCTAAAAAAATGCTTGCTGAGCATAACAGCCCAGCATCAGTTCCTGCAATGGGAGAGAGACTCTAGGAAAAACATAGCCTCTCTCTATTTTCAAATAAATAATTAAGACCAAGCTGCTAAACCCTCGATGACTTTCACTTAATATTTGTGGGAATATGTTTCTGAAGGCTGGGTGTCACTGACAGAGGAAAAGTATAATGCTTTCTGTACTGCACATTAGTGATGTAACTAGCAGACCTGAACAAAGACTCGTAAAGCCAAGAGGTTATTGTCCAAAACCTGACCTACATTAGCACAGAAGACCTTCAGGACACAGAACACCTCCACTATACTACTGTATGTTGTTCATCACATTATCTGTATAAGAATGTTTATGTCTAATTTCCCCTCCAAGTTTAAATTTTCTTCTCAGCCTTAGTTCTCCATATCAATCACGTTCTGCTACTCTAACTCTGCTGTAAAAATTAATGCAAGCTGAAAATTTTGACTTGTGTGCTTTCTATAGAAGATACTTCCACAAATTTAAAAAAACAACTTTTCAATTAATTCCCCAGCTGCTTAGCTCTGCTGTCCTAAGATGTGCATCAACACGGACTGTTTCTGCTGCTGCATGGCAAAGGTGGGTTGTACAACCAGGACAGAGTGAATAAAAGTGCTCATATCTCTATCTGAACCATGGCAGAAGGTTGCATATAGAGAAAATAATAGTTAAATCCTAAAAAACCTCTCCCTATAGCAAGCTCTTTTAAGAGTACATGGCAGAGATGGCCTATACCCATCACACTATGACCAACACACGTTCTTTGCAACAACAAGGCCAACTGATACTCAGTCCACCTCAGATCAGTCTAAAGTTTTCTCTCAGGTATACTATGAGAACTCTGAAAAGCCTCCCCCAACTGATCAAGGGTTACAACAGTGATCTCTGATTTGTCCTGTATTGCTTTCCTGATGACTTCTAATATTTGAGCACCTTCTTGAAAGCTGTTGAGTATCAAACCTGTGTTTTCACAAAGTTATTCCATAACATCATGGTCTCTCTTATCAGTGATACCTGTCAGCTCATAGATCACTATCATATATGTGAAATTAGAACTGTTCTCCCCCCACCTCCCCAAACACACACCATGAGCATCACTTTTTATCTACACAGAATTTCACCTGCCAGTTTATAGAGTCCCCCCACAATTTTCTTTGCCTTGCCACAGCACACTCAGTCTCATTGCTGCTATTTAGAAAGGTCTCAGACCTGCACACAGGTACTGTATTACTCTTCCCAATGCATGCTGATTACCTGTGCATCCCTTTACTGGTTTAAATATATGATCAATCTCACTGAATACCTTGTTCCTATGTAACCAGAGGCTCTCTCATTTGCTTCTCAAGAATTCATAATATTTTACAGACTTTTATGAAATTACTTTTATTAATTTTCTTCTTTGGATTATAATCACAATCTTTTTGATCCCTCTTCATTTGAGTTTGTCATTACTGTCTTCTCAATACTGTTTAGATCTGCAATACTTTCTTTGAAACTGGATGGGTGGTATTTTATGCATCATCAACTGTTACCTCATCTAGATTTGTATAAAGGCACTAAAAAAGGTTTTATAGATTTAATCATCCTATTTCATATGGACCGTAAGAACTGCACCACTGGCTCAATGCATCTCACCTAGTAACTCACCTACAGTCCTAAAGAAGGTGCTTCTGGATATCCTACAGACAGGGTACATGTAGCCGGGCAGATGCAGTCCCTTTGCATTCTGTTTAATCTGGCATATGCAATACTTATTTTTAAAGGGTATAATGTTGGTTCAGATGCCATGCACCAGAATGAATACTTGAAACCCTCCTAAAGAACAAAATCAGCAGAAATGTGGCTACTTGGGATGTAATTAGGAAAAGTCTACACAACTTTTGTAACAGAAAGTAGCATATCACCAACAGCGTGCTCTGCAGCATTTGTCCATATAGACAAGGATAACCTAGTCCATATAGTACATCTGAATTTTCAAAAACATGAACCCCTGAGAAAGTCCACGCTTCAGGAAATTACACTGCAAAGGAGAATGTTTCTCTCTCATTTGAGTGGTGGCAATTACTGTTGTCCTTTAAAGAGGCAACAAACTCTTAAAGACCTGCACAAACCAAGATCTTTATGATACAACCTGGTCAAAGTTGTGTTTTCAGCTTCTCTCCTGTTACATTATTGGACATATCATGAAATGAAAAAGTTTTGGGATAACCCAACTTCAGAACCTGATTTCCTTCAGATCAAAGTTTAACTGTGAGATTCTCTATGTTTAACAAAAACTTTGGCATGAAAAGCATGAAAATTTTGATTTAATTTTTTCCTCTATGGTATTTATATGTAGCACAGTAAACAGACAAACTAACAGAGCTGTAGCAGTTGTGAGAGCAGTTAGCAAAACAAGGCTGTGCAGGGGCCCAGAAACTGCTCAGCAAAGTGTGGGCATGACTGAGGCTACAATAATGGTGGCGATGGGCCACGGGGCCTGGTGCCCAGCATGGCTGATGCAACTATTTTTAGCACATTGGAGACCTCAATCCAGAAAAAGCCCCAAAGAAAGGATGTGGTCATCCACGTTTGGCTGCAGAGAGCACCTGGTGCCTCTGCAGTAGCCTCGTGAAAGAGAAGTACTCTGGTTGAGGTATAGAGTTGCCAGCTGAAGGAGCTGTGGTGAGGTGGGAAAGGAGGTGAGCAGACTGTGTAGCATCAGTGAGGGTGAACAAGAGATCAACAGAATCTTCACAGAGCCTCTGAAAGTGAAGATCATGAACCCTTCAATGCAAGGAAAAACTGACAAAACTTTGAGTAGTTATGCTCAAGTAGCAACAGATAGAGACTCCTAAGTGGAGGGAAACTAGCAGCACAAGAGAGGCTCCTGCCCCCCATGTAGATCTGCAGTTGCAAAATGGCTTTAGTAACCTGGGAACTAGTGACAAGGAACAAGGCCTGTCTAGAGAGCCAGCCGAGCCTGAACCAAATGTCCACACCAAGAAGCAAAGGTGACTGACAGTCACTGAAGACTCCTTCCTGCAGGAAATGAAAGCCCCATCTACTGGGTCAACTTGATGTCTCCAGAGCTTTGTGGCTTGTTGGGGGCCTGGATATGGGATGATAAGGACAGACTGCCAAGGTCTGTGAGGCCCTCTGACTATTAACCCTTGCTGCTCATTCAAAAGCACCTGTTTTTCAAGAGGTGACTTTGAGTATACTGAGTACAGATCTGGGGGCATGGAGGCCTGGGTGCTGTCCTCTTAAATCCTGACAGTAAGTAGGAAAGACTTAGGTAGACATGGATGCATCCTCCAAGTCAACACCTAGCTATCAAAGACAGGCTTTGGCTTCTATGAGCATGGGTCACTCTTTAAGGAAAAAGAATTGTTGGTGAACGAAGGGACCCATGTGACAGAGCGGCAAGAGCATCACTGGAGAAGGCTTTGCATCTAGGCTTACTAAACTAGTGAGGAGGGCTTAAAGCAGGTACAGTGAGAGAGGATTACCATAACCTGAAAAGAAATGGAAGAATGGAGGTTGTGAGGAGGTGCCCCAGGAGAGGATGATAGAAGCTATCATGCATTCCCTGGGAAAGCAACACAACTGGTGGCCCACCTCAAATGCCTGTCCACAAACACCTACACACATGAAATGAACAGGAGTTGTTAGTAGTCCATGTGCCGTTGCAAAACTATGATCTCACTGGCTTTACAAAGATGTGGTGGGACAGCTTGCATGGCTTGAGTGCTGCAATGAAAGGAAAGAAGAACTGAGAAAGCCAGGAATTGCATTTGCACAGGAGCAGCTTGAATGTATGAAGCTCTCCTTTAATCAGGTGATGAGATAGTCACTACTGATGGGTAAGTGATAAGCAGTAACATAATGGTAAGCACCTGCTACCGACTGCCTGATCAAGAAGAAAAAACAGATTAAGTCTCTTTAGACAACTGAAGGAAGCCTTGCAATTGCAAGCCCTGGTACTCAAAGAGAGCTTGAGTAACTCTTCTATTTGCCTGGAGAAGCAATATAACAGGGTGAAGCAATCCAGGAGTTTTCTGGTGAGCACTGAACAGAACAAGAAAAACAAGAAATGAAGGTTCGGAGTCACAAAAAAATGGACAACACTGAACAGGAGCACGGTTTCTTCTCTCCAGCATTAGATCACTCACCCAAAGTTTGGAAGTCTCAGGTTCAATAACCTCCTCTCCTACAGGAGTTCCTGCACTGTCACCTGACAGCAGACTACCACAAGTATCATGTACTTAAGCCACAGGTAGAATGGGAGCAGGCGTATTGCGATCTCTCTCACTGAGGCTTTACAGCTTTGCACAAAATTAAGACATATTCCCTAGAAAGGGGACCTCAGGAGTCTCACAGCCCTGGAGATGGCCCCGTTTACTATGACTAAGTAGTTTTTCCACTCTCTGTTTCACTAAATATTTAAGTATTGAGCACCAAAAGATATTACTAAGAGTAATGGACCAGGAATAGTTAGTGATTACCACTGACAGTGCTCCCTTGAGAAATAGGAAGTCCCAGGTCAAACATACCCTGCTGAATACAGATCACAGATCTTAACCACTATTTTCCACCTTCCAAACAAGAGAGAGTGGGACTTGGAGGGGCAGGGAGGAGCAGTGAAGAACTCAGCATCTCCCCTAGCAGTTTTGTCAAGCTGCCTGTCTTTCTCTTCATTTCCCTGTCCTCACAAGTGTTTGAAAACAAAATCCTCTGGAAATATTGTATTTTTTTGCACTAGCAGTCTGTCCTGTTTATCATAATAGCCAGAGTCCCTCCTGCTAGCCAGGACGTTGACTCTGATCCAAATGCCAGAAATGCGTATGGCAGCCAAAGTAACAGCCTTCATCCAGGCCCTAAGCAGTTCTCAACACACAACGGACAAAAAATGGCTACATGACTGATATACATGTGTTCTACCTGTCCAAAGGAGTAACTATCAAAATACTGACTTGTACGACTCTCAGAGAAATATCAAGTAATGAGACTGTTGAGAACAGCTGAGTTCCCCTGATTGCTAACAGGGAAAAATTCTTGCGAATGCTTCCTTACACACCTTCTGGCTTCAATCATCTTTATAGTCCTTATAGTGCAATGTGAAGTCCTACAGACAGTTTTCCAGGAGATTTTACAGGGGCAAGTGGTAGAGGGTGAGACTGTTTCCATGAAAGCAAATCTGTGTGACAACAGCTCTTCTCCAAAGAGTAGCATTTGTGCTATTATTAGCATCCCACATAAGGTAATCAGTTTTGTTTTCCTAGAAGTACAGAATAAATGCAAATTAAGATTAAATTTGGATTTAGTTAAGAAAAGTAGCCCATAACTTTACAAATGCCAAGCAATAAAGTTAAACTGTCCAGTAGCTATCATCTGTAAAAACATACAAACCAAACAGATAATATTCATCAGAAGCTTAGCAGAGTAACAACTCCTAAGTAAAAGCTACTGTGGTAGCCCTTGAAAGAGGGTCTGGAAAGCCACAGTGATAACAACTGAGGATGGAGGAACTAATGCTCCATAAAGATCATGGAGAGTAGAAATGATCCCACCTCAAAGTTCTAATCAGTCTCTAGAAAATCAGAATGTAACCTTTTTAGCAACAGCCTATGCTATCTGACTACTAAGGAGCTCCTTGCCTTTTAATATAAAAAAATTCATACTGATTGGCATCAGTGAATTGCACATTAAAAAAATATTTAAAATCAGTACCAACAAAGCATTCTAGAGGATTTTGCTCCACAAAATAACTCGCTTTTCCCTTTTTCAAAATCAAAGGTGTTTTCAAATTAAAAAAGTGAACAAAAATAAGAAGGCAAAGGTAAGTTAAAAAAAAAAACAAAACACCAAAACCAAAAACCACAGCAGCTTAAAAGCCAGGAACATTATCTGTATTACTAACAAGTCATTCAGTCTTTCTGAAAAGCTGACAAGCAAGATTGAGGTTATGAATTTCAGAGGATGTGAACGCAGTAAATAATTTTTAAGGATATTATTCATAAAGTGTGACAATGCTTCTGATACTGTAGGAAACTGCAGAGGACCTACGTAAGCAGAAACAGTCTGTTAATAAATGAGTATAACTGAAAGCAAAATTCAGTCATGCTTCCTGAAAAAGAAGAAGTGAGCTCCTTCTCATACCTATCTTGTGTATTGTACCTCAGAAACAATTCACAAAAAAAAGTAGCCTCAGGATGAACATGTTATAAATCTGAGAATTGTATTCTTCATGAATAAAGGAACTGAAAGAGAACAGAAAAAGAATCTACCTTATTGGATTGAAATAATCTCTTTGATGGAAATAAAAGATAAAGTTCTTAACTGGACTTGATGAGACTAGGACTTGATGAGATACAGGACATATTCTGAAGTATGAGCTTGTGATCTTCTGTAATATCAGAGTGGCTGATCAGGCAAAGAATCTAGCAAAGGAGCAAGTATGATCTGACAGGTAGTGGGGTAAAATGCTTTTGAGGCTCCCCATAGCAAGTATACCTTGAAAAAACTTTTTTTTTTTCCCTTTTCTTACTCTTCTGGGTTAAAATATGCTTTGCTGATCTCTGTGCTATGATCTTCATGCTCGAGGAGGCCATGTGTGAGGAAGGAGAGAGAGTTCCTTCTGCCTTAAAGGAAAGTATGACAGTCTCATCATCCTGGCTGCACAGGAGGTTAACAACATGATTGTTCTTGTGGGCTTCATAATCCTGATCAGCCTCAGGACCGATCTTCAGGAATCCCAAAGTCACACCTGGCACAGTCATCAGCATCCATCTGCTACTTCAGCATGGCATGGACTCCTCCAAGAGAGCTAACAGTTGTAACCTTGTGCCTCCTTTCGTTGAAAAATGAGTAAAAGCCTTGGAAACCCAGAGGGCTTGATGCTGCAAGCATTTATCCCACCTCTATGATGAGCAGGCTGTACATATACCAACTCTCAATGTGGCCTGCTTTCTCTACACTCTGTTATATTCCTTTTGTTTCATGATGGAATTGGCACAGTCTTCCCTCCCCCCCTTTCTTCTTCTTTTCCTGATGTTGCCTGTTGCAGAGTAGTGCGTGGAAGAGCTATTCAGGGACAGCCTAAATTTACAAGACCAACAGGTCAGGTAGCAGCCCATTTTAGGCTGGAAAGGAGGATTCAGTATAAAACCAAGTCAGTCTGGGGATGTGGGTCATCAAGAACTGTCATTCAGTTCATCATTTTCAAAAATTTTAGTAAGTAGAAACATGCTGTCAGCCTAAACGTGCCTACAAATCTCAAAGATAATAAATTAAAAATCTAAAATGCTTTTTCTTTCTAAAATTTTGTGATCCACAAAACAGTAATGTTATAGAGGAAATGGATTAAAAAAAAAAAGTCTCAGGATTATACACAAAATCAGTCAGAAGACACAGTACAAAATTAGCAGGGATGTGTCTTAAGTCATAATCAAGTGTACTGGACACTACCACTCCTGTTTTGCTGAAATGATTGATTTAGGTGGCCAGGTTCCCCCTGTCAGAGGATTGGTTTTTAGTGTTCTTGTCTGCAGTTTTACAAGAATAAAAAGCAGATGGTATCCTGCCTATCAGTGCTTTGCAATTATTTAAAAGAATAAAAACAAGTAAAAATTGGAGCAATTGACCCTTTTTAACACACAGCATCTCTTATTGCCAGTAGAAACAGTCATTGTTTTGGCATCCATCTCCTGGTGCTCTGAAAGGCAAAACAAAGCAAAGTGGGACTCACAGTGTGTCTGTAAGCAAGCCAGGCTGGTCTGTGTGAGTCTGTACGGACTTAAAGGAGTCAGGTCTGGAACAACTGTGGGTCTGTGCTGGCCTGTCCATCCTGTCTGAGACCTGTGTATATTGCCAGTTTGCTGAAGCACACAGGTGTCCTAAGCTCCTAAAAAAACCCCTAACTGATTGTTTCTGAGTTTATCCAGATATGTTGACTTTGCAGCCACAAATCTGGCTTTGAGGCTGCCTTCACGTCGGCCGGCAGCATAGCCATCCATATTGGGACCCATGACAAGAAGACATGTAGGACAGTTGAGGCTTACTGGGAGTCCCTTCTTGGTAATGCTCAGGCCAGGACATGGCATTCCTCAGGGGTCGGTGTTGGAACCGGCGCTGTTTAACATCTTTGTTGGCTACGTGGACAGTGGGATTGAGTGCACCCTCAGTAAGTTTGTCGATGACACCAATCTGTGTGGTGTGATTGACACGCTGGAGGGAAGGGATCCATCCAGAGGGACCTGGAGAGGTGGGCCCGTGCAAACCTCATGAAGTTCAACAAGGCCAAGTGCGAGGTCCTGCACATGGATCGAGGCAATGCCAAGCACAAATGCAGGCTGGGTGATGAGTGGATTGAGAGCAGCCTTGCAGGGAAGGACTTGGGAGTAGTGGCGGATGGAGAACTCACTATGAGCCAGCAGTGTGCGCTCATGGCCCAGAAAGCCAACTGTATCCTGGAATCCATCAAGAGAAGTGTGGCCAGCAGGCTGAGGGAGGTGATTGTCCCCCTGTACTCCTCTCTCATGAGTCCCCACCTGCAGTACTATGTTCGCCTCTGGGGCCCCCAGTTTAAGAAGGACATAGACATGTTGGAGCAAGTCCAGAGGAGGCAACAAAGATGACTGGGGAGCCAGAGCACCTTCCTCAGCCTTCCACAGGTGGAGGAAGTTGGGGTTGTTCAGCCTGGAGAAGAGAAGGCTCTGGGGACGCCTTATAGCAGCCTTCCAGTACTTAAAGGGGCTACAAGGAAAGATGGGGAGGGACTCTGTATCAGGGAGTGTAGGGACAGGACAAGGAATAATGATTTTAAGCTGACAGAGGGTAGATTTAGATTAGATGTAAGGAAGAAATTCTTTTACTGTGAGGGTGGTGAGGCCCTGGCACAGGTTGCCCAGAGCAGCTGTGGCTGCCCCCTCCCTGGCAGTGTTCAAGGCCAGGTTGGACGGGGCTTTGAGCAACCTGGTCTATGGAAGGTGTCCCTGCCCGTGGCAGGGGGTTGGAACTAAGTGATCTTTAAGGTCCCTCCTGACTCAAATCATTATATGATTGTATAAAAAAAATAACCAATAACCAACAACAACAAAAAAATCTCATTTCACTTGTCTTCATACCACACTTCACCCCCATCTCCTTACTAAACCTTAATGAATTATTTGGACAGCAATCACACCATGCTTCTCTGGTCAAGTATCTCAGTCTGCTAAATGGGACTCAACAGTGCTATCATTTAGCAGGTACACAAAAGGAGTGAACATCCTTGTGACTGTAACGTATCGTTACATTAGGAGGGACTGAGGTAAATATTATGTATTTTTTATTGTATAATTTTTGTCAAAAAACCTCACCACCTGAAGTGTGGCATAAGAGAACAGGTACATTAGGTACATGAGACTTTACCCCATATGATCCTCCCACATCCCAGACAAACCGAGGCTTTTTACCACTTTCTGAAGAGCATACTCCCACTCCTCTGGGGAATCTCCATATATTTTTCCAGGAAAAGATTATGTGTTATTAGTTGTTCTGTGAGATTCATCATCTGTGGCAAGCAATCAATCAACCACCAGAATGACCACAATTAAGACCGATCTTCTCAGACTCTTGTGTCCTAAGAAAGCCCCACCTCACCCACACGAAACCAAGCAGGACACAGCTTTTGAAACACAGCTGAGGAGTCTTCTGCTCTGAAAAATGTCAAGGCCGGATGTAGTGCTGTTTCCAAAAACAGGGCCTGGGAGTATTCTCTAAGGATGCAGCAAAATAAAGAAGCAATTTTAAACTAGTGGGAGAAAGGAAGAAAAGAGAGGATCCAAATGAAGAGACATCTGGAAAAATTAGTTTCTTTAATTATAAAGAACAATGTTTAAACAGTGGGACCTGATATACAGATATAAAACACAGTTGTTTCACTAAGGCAATGAAGAAATTTTACAGAAAACCAAATGCCAGTTTCAATCCATAATGG